GTGCTGGTGTGTCAGTGCAGTCACATACCCAGCAGGCACTGTTGCAGTAATCCCTTGTGTAGCTCCAGTGACTTCCCTGGATCTGTGCGGGAATGCTGTGGTAATGTGCGACCGGGATGGTCTGGGAACATGTCCTGGAGCTGCAGGTCATTAAAGCAAGTGGCAGCCAGAGCTGGTTTGTAAGAGTGGGAGAACAGGGGAGCTTCATCCTTCAGGGATGATGGAACAATGGAAAAAGAGAGAAACAAACATATTGATAGGTGCTTTCTGTGTTTCCTGTGACTTGTCAGAGACAAAGAAAGTCTTTTTTTTTTTTTTTTTTTTTTATCCCAGTGTTATGTTTCTCTCATTCAAGGGCTTTGCCTACTTGGAGAACTGGCTGCTAATTTTAAATCTGAGGAGGCACGTAGAAGTCTTACAAAATATAGGGGAGGCTGCATTATGTAGGCTGGAGACAGATGTTTCTAAAACCTCAAACTGAAACTTAGTAAAAAATGATGAGGGCTTAATTCCAGCTCACAAGGTCTGAACAGCATTATTTGACTTAAAGATAATTAAGATATTCAGCATAGCTGCTCAAGAGTGGGAAAAAAAACACTTGTCATGAGACAGAGACAAATTTGTATTTAGATTTGACTACAGAGGACTTTAAATCAACATTGCTGTCAGAGCCATATAAATAATTTAGCAATCCAAACGTTTTCCCAAGATCTGGATTTTTACCATTCAGCTGCAATGGGAAAATTGAATTTTGATGGTATTTCTGTGCATTTTACCCATGTTTCCTCCAAGGACTGCAGAGGTCCACTGATATTTGCTTCCCTTTATGACTCGTTGGTCACCTCTGGGTTGCAGGTTAATCCGAGGCAGCACGAGGAAGGGACATGATGAGTTTAAACCTTATTGCTAAGAAATCTTGCAAGCACCTTGCTCATCTCAGAATAAGCGAGAAACCCACAAACAAACAACAGGAGCTCTTCATCCTCAAAGGATTAGATCTGTTGCTAATTTTGCAGCATGGCATATCAAATTGGTTTATGTTGTTCAGCAATGTTGATACACATTCAACCAAAAGAATTTCTAATTTCTGGCCTATTTTGCCCCAGGAATGATGGTGAGTAGGTAGGGGCTATTCTTCTTATTCAGCTATAATGATTTTCTACTGATGGCCAAATGCAGAAGTTCACTTTAGTGGCTGGAATCATGACTCATTCAGCCCAGACTTTACAGAGTTACTGCAAAGCTTTTAATTTTATGGAGTCTATGAACCTGGTAATTGAGATAGAGGGAAAATTCTACACTCCTCTCATGAAAATTTAATATGCAGCTGTATTAAAAGCAAATGTTTTGTGAAATTACATTTGATTTGGCCTATGTGTATTCATTTTTTTCAACAGAAAATGAAAATAGAACAACGTATTTTATTCACATTTCCTTTTGACATTTTGTGTATCTCAGCTTTTAAAATTTTGTTTTCTTCTTTTAAAGTGGAAAAAATATCATAGATTAAAAGAGTGAATTCCAGAGATTCCTGGATTTTATGTTTACACTCTTCTCAATTTTCTGACTGTTTCTCAAGATTTCACAGTTTCCCAAAATGTCAAAAGTATCTTTTCAGGGAGACAATAGGATTGTTGTCTTTACCTGGAGCCCCTGTATCCCTGGAAACCACTCCAGGCTGTTTCCTGAGTTCTGAAAAACATGGTCACATTTTATTCCTGGACCATTGGGATTCAGTCTGTGTGATCTGCCCTGTGTGGTTCCATCATAGACATGGGGAAATAACGATGCCAACCAGACACTGTCCTGCACTGAGCAGCACCTCCATCATCTACAGGCAATAGTTTACCAGTTAGTGACTGCCATAAAATACAGAAATAAAAGACTCTTTTCTGCCTGCTGCTGAAACAGGAATAAAGTAAGCAGATGCATCACTGTCTGGGATAACTAACAAACAGTCATCTTAAGCCGTTCTCTCTTCCCCTCTCTTTTATAGTACGTTTATGAATTATGTTGTTTGCATTTGTAATTATGGAACTGAACAGATGGTGAAAGGCTTATTTCAGAGTGATGTGTTCATTAAAATAACCTGCTCTCCTCTGCCAAGTGATTGTTAACCCTAATCCCAATTTGATATCAAAGAGAGTTATTTGTTCTTTCTCTTCTAAGTTTGTCTGAAAGAAACGGAGCTTTGAGAGACAGACACGACATTGAGTGTGGAGCCACAATAGTGGTGCTGAATATATTCCAGAGGGGAAACCACTGAGGAGCTTTGCAGCTGTGAAAGAAAGATGCAGGGAAAGATAAATTGTGAACCAGTGCAATGTCAAATCTAAGAAAAGTTTAAATTGGAAGCTCAGTTCCACGTAAAACATGGCCCCAGCCAGCTTCTGCCTATGTGCAAACTCTTAAGTTCTACCATATTAGGTGTTTGAGCATAATAATGGTAAATCCTATTATTAAAAATGGGACTCTCTTCGCAGTTTATGACATCTTACAAAATAACATCTTACCTTCTTCTATTCCCAACAAGTGTTTACTGGGTGCTCCTGCAAATAACAAGAGTTGCAAATAGCACCTGGCACAAACTTGGGAAAAGTTTCAATGCCATGAAACCTGCAGAATTTTTTTTTTTTTCTTATTAGTTTAGATTTTTAAGAATGCCACAGTTGAAACTTGCTCCTTGCCTGACTCTGCCATGCCCAGGTTTCTTCCATCAGTCCTGTAAGGTGTCACCAATGAACTGGCAACAACAAACCCCAAATCCCAGGACAGGGATGTCCAAGGATCACAGTTCCATTTCAGTTAGGTGTAATTTTCCTGCACTGCGTGAGCATGGGACCAGGAGGAGACTCTCATAGTCCAGCTCATCCATGAGGTCACTGTTGCAGCCCGTAGTGAAGTGTGTTACAGGCTTCAAACAGTGTAATGTGAACAACTAAGAACAGCACAGAATTTGATACAAGGATTTTCTCTTCTATTCTTGCATTACCAGGGGTATTTATAAACTCTAGCAGTAATTAATTTGCATTTATAATATAAAATTATAAAAAAAAATTTGCAAACATAATGAAACTTGGTGCTTATCAGCTTCTTGCACAGTTCATGTCTAAACTTCCCCAGACTTTGCAGCCATTTGTGCACCCAGCTGAGACCCAAGATACCCTGGCAGTACCAGTAACAGACATATACACCATAAATTCACCCACCCATCCCTGCTTCTGCAGAAACACTGACTTCTCAGTGTCTGGACATGTCTGCAAAATCTCTACCTATTGACAATGGGACCTTCATTTTTTGATCAGAAGGGGAATGGGTTTAGTGGCAAAAGTCCCAGGGAGCACAGAGTTAACAGCTCTTGTACCTCCCCTGCACAAAACCCAGCCCAGGGCCAACTGCAAAACCTCACCTCAGTCTTCAGTGAATGTCAGGACAACAGGAACCACCTTTTGCCTGTCCAAAAAAGGAAGCAATTAATAATGGAAACTGCTCTCTGTTTAAAAAATCCTTTCCCTGTACACCAAAGGCAGCTGTGCACCTACAGCAGGTTTGGGATGGCTGTGTCTTCCTCCCATCACCCTCCTTCAGTGCAGCTGAAAGCTTTGCCCTGCTGGGGCAGTTGTGGGCATTCAGTTTACTTGTGATGGTGAGATCTTCCCACTGTCTACAACTCCCACAAAGGAGGTTGGAGCTGGGCGGGGTCGGGCTCTTCTCCCACAGAACGAGCTCATCGGGAGACCCCAGGCTCTGGGAAAGTGGTGAGTGGTTTTCATTACAGTTCGGGGAGCCAGAGACCAGCAATTTTTTGGCTTTGCTTTCTTAGTAAATTGTTCAACTTGGTGTTAGAGATAGCTCTGCAGGGAATGAAAGTAAGCAGACACTGCACCCCCTTGGTGTTTTCTCTTTGGCTTTTGCTGAGTTCCCATAATAATGCTGGAGCCCACAGTTCTGGTCGTGGGCTGTAAAACCTCCTGTGCTGAGAGCTAATCCAACCAGTTAATTAAAGAGTCCATTGGACTTTCAGAAACAGTGGGAGATGCAGAAGCAATTATCTCCAAATTGGCCATCATCACAAAGTGCCATTTGGCGAGTAGGGAATAGTCTCCAGCAGGTCCCTTTAGGGGTGGCAATGCCTTTCCATTATTGGGCTTTACTGCTGGGTGGTGGTTGTGATCTGAGTAAAGCCTTGGGGGAAATGACTGGAACACTGTCCCCAGTTCTGGGAGGAGTCAGATGCAGAGGGCAGGGGCCTCAATTTGTAATTGAGCTTGGTGGTTTAATGTGCCAGCACGTAGAAATCCCATTGAAGGAACCCATTAGAGGCAGGAAAGCTGAGCAACTAATTTGCTGCTGATAATTTATTTAATATATTTAAACCTTTTAACGGTTTTTTTTTCCCTCCTCGCATACTATGGCTTCCTCAGATGTATTCATTACTCAAACCTACCTCGTTGTTTCTCTTGAAACATTCAGCCCACACATGGAGGGTTCGAGTGCTGTTTTCTCCTTGCATTGTGAGATAAGTCCTTGGTGTCTCCATGGGGTGGGAGCTGAGGCATATCAGGTGTGTGTTCCTGGAGCGAGGCAACACTGAGTTTCAGGTGTAGCTGTGCCTTTTCTCTGAAACTTGCTTGCAGTAAGTCTGATGCCTGAAAAATGAATTGTATTTTCAGGGAGCAGATCAGTTAAGTCGTGGGGGTGTGAACAAAAGCAGGGCTGTTATAATCCCAACTTTTATCCAACAGTAAGTTGGTGCTCTGCAACTGGCAGGTAGCTTTGAACTTCCATTTGAAGGGGAAAACTGCAATATGAGAAAACAACCCGAGTAACACAAAAGCTCATCAGCAGAGGACTCCTTTAACAGATTCCTGGAGATTTTGATAAAAGTTTTTACAAATGATGTGCCAGAACCTGAGCAAGCCATCACCCTGCAGAGCAGCTTTTCCACCCTGTGTAGGAATGCTCTTTCCTCCTCTCCTACCAGTCCTCTTTCCCCACAGGGTAAACAGCTGGAAGTGTTGAGCTAACAACTGCCAGAGGCTTCAGACAGACACTTTGTGCCACACGACATCCCGGGACACCTTAATGACTTCTCTTTAGCTTAATGCATCTCTGTAACAAACGGCATCACCTGCTATTGCTGATCTTGCACCACTTTCTGACTGCTGCAGAAGAACAAGGAAGGTTTGGCTCTTTGGATATCCTGTATGAAGTGAGCTTTCAGTCTCTGTTGCGCTGCTGAGCAAGTCCTGAGTTGCTCCGAGCTATGTCTGCCCTGTTCATGGAGCAGGGGGTCTCCTGGCTCTCATCCTCTGTATCCCCATTAGTAGCAGAGGCTTTGCCATACCAGAGGTCTCCTTGGTGGATCATCTCACACAGTGTCCCGTGTCTGACTTGGTATATCAAATTAAAACTACATTATGACTTGTATTCTTCATGGTCATCTCATCGGAGTGTCTGTTCAGTGTTAGACTCAAAATGTCTTTTCTTGTTTCTTGCATCAAGTCTGTAATTTGTTGGGAGAACGAGCACATTTTTAAAATTTATTATCCTTATTTAAAGTTGATTTCTAAATTTATTATCCTTATTAAAACTGGAGTATTAAGGGTGCATGTTCAGTGGATACATTTGCACATACAGTGACTTGCAATAAATCAACCAAGCCTGGCTGTGTTGAAAACCAGCATCTAGTACATTAAAGGGTGAATTTCTGCAGGAATAATCACCAGAGCAAACACAGACAGGCAGTACAGTTCATACCCCGGCTTTCATTTTGAGGCCATGCCTGATCTCCTGGAGCTAACGGATACATAATTGGTAGGATATTCAAATCATCTACTTCAGACATTTCAGTGGCATTCCAAGCACCTCAGTTAGGAGCCTAAGTCCCAAAAATGCTCAGTGATTGAGAAAGAGATGCATCCTGAGTAATAACACCAAGTAAACTGATGTCACAGTATCAGTTTACGAACATGTAGAAAAAGTTCCTGGCTGCTTTTAGTGATTATTCAGACAAACCCTAAGGCTGCTAGTACTTCACTCTGCTAACAAGAAGAGAACTGATATATTCCTCTATTTTCTTGGGCTTTTTTCTTTTTTATCTTTATTGTGATGCAGATGTTTCAGGTATGTCTTGGATGTTTGTTACTAAGAGAAATAACATATCTACATGTCTAAACATTCAGGAGAAAAGTCTTAACAGAGACCTGATTTCCCTGATATGCATTTGAACAAGGGAAAAATATGTTTTTACAGTTATTTTTGCAGCTTTTTCCTTCTAGACCTACTCAGAGGATGGTTTAGTTCAGCTTTAGTTTAAATTAAACAGACTGCCAAGGGAAGATACTTGGCTTGCTCTGTACCCTTCAGGGGGGTTGAAAGCAAGAATGATTAGATGTAAAATTCAAGAAAGATGTGCTAAATTAGTTTTACTCCACTTAGCCAACAGTTTTGCTATCACTTCAGATCTGCTTATTCCTGCAAAGCACTGCACACCATTTAGGGAAAACAGTTGCATGTCACCAGCAGATTCAATCAACAGTCCTGTTCAGAGAGTCACATTGGGATGAGCAGCAGGAGATGGGCTGGTAGATGAGGCACAGGGTAGGAGTTAACATGGAATTCTTACAGCTCAATTCTGGTTTTCCATATCTGGCCCAAAGCCTGGAGAAATATCATAAAGGTCATGATACCTCCAAAGGACATAACACCCGAACAGCACTGGTTTGATAAGACATGCTAGAATTGGCCCTAGACTGAGATGACTGTCTTTTTTAAGTGGAAATGCCATGGAATGTTGGTCTTGGTTTCATCTTAAGCAGCATTCTCTTCCCAAGCAAGTCTCAAATGATTCCTTAAATGCTTGAACTGAAGACATTAACTGAAGTGCCTTCAGCTCAGTCCACCCACAGGTGATCAGTGTTTTTTAGTTCCTTTGTCCGGATTCCTCTCAACCAGCTCACCTTAGACACGTGAAACTCAGCATGTTCTTGGTTTTCAGGGTTTGCCTTGACTGCTTCAAACCAAAGATTTGGTTTCCTGTCCTGGAACAAAGAAGGGATTTGCTTTGCTTTATGTGGGATCTGCATATTTGGAAGATGCTCTGTCTTAAGATGTACTTTGGGGTTTTCAAGAACTCATTTTACATAAGCAGGTAATCAGGTCCTTTTAATTGGCACTAACCAATTTCTGTGTCTCTCCACTTCCAGGTACACTGTTTTACGCAATGGGCATCATCAGGAACATGAGAAGCTTCCCATCCACAACGACCCTGAATCCCAAGAGTCCTGTTTCTAGTCATGGTCCTAACAGAGGAATGGTCCAGCTGAAAGAACCTTTTAGGATATCCAAAGGATTCACGGACAGCAGGACTTGTTGAAAAATCATTCATCTGCATTGTCATGGTGCCTCCTACACTGACTTCACATGGGTGTCCAGCTGTGAGATGGATGGAAGGTACAGGACTCCTGTACCTGCAGGGATGGCTGGACCATGGCTATGCCACAGCTTTATTCCAGGAGGGGGTGATTCCTGTCAACGTAAGGACACAAAACAAATACAAACCACTCAGTGAAGGGACTTCTGCTCTCCTTTTCCAGCTGCCCTCTGTGTACAAGTTATCTCTCTGTCCTGCAGTCTTAGAGATCACAAGGTCTGGCTGAAGCCCTATCAGGATGTGAGACTAAAGCCCTGCTTTATCTGTGCGAGATCCTGCCTGTGGTGACTGGATGGTCGGGGGAGAAACAGCACTATGTTTTCTTCAGCAAAATAAGGGGGAACATTTGCCCTTTGATTATAGCTACTGGTGAAGGGTCAGCACGAGCTGCTGGTTCACCCAACCCTGCAGAGCTTTGTAAATGCTTTTATTGTGTTTCCTGGCCATATTCATTGGTGGAAGCCTGACAAGCTGGAATGGGACCTACAGAGACATCTCACCTCTGACAGGGCCCTGCCAGCACTGCTCCAGTCCAGCCCATGGGCCCAAAGCCTTATCCATCCTCTGCCATTTGGAGGCCAGTGGACAGGATATGGCCCTCAAACCCAGGCAAGCTGCCAGTGCTGTGCTCACCTGAGCAAACTTTAGGCATTCCGACCCAAAAGAAAGGTTGGCCAAGAGACAGTCAGTCTGTAATAGATCACTAAGTGCCATCTTGAAAACTACACCATCTAATAAACTTTTCTAGCTACATTAGGGAGAGAGACTTCCACTTCCATTTTTCACCTTTATTTTTGTATTTGTTTCGGTTCCCTTCCAGTTGAGGCAAGAAGTTTCAAGATTTTCAAATATCACCATATGCACATCTGCTTGCAAAGATCTCAATCCTCAGCTGCTTCCTGCATGTAGATGTTGCCATGTTCCTTGTTAGCTGCTTCCACCTTTGCATGGAAAGGGTGAGCAAGGCTGTAGACTTCACAACTTTGGGAGATTGATCTTCATGCAGTAGGAAATATGCAGGATCAAGACTATGAGCCTCTACCCTTTTTTGATGAAGATCGAACCCAGAGATGCCACCCTGAGCCTAGAAAATAAACTTGTACTTTGTTATATTGTGTAATCATGTACAGCTATTTTTAATGTAAATAGAAAAGGTGACATTATTTATTATTTTTTATCAGGAACATGTGTTTTTTTCATTAAAAGCTTCTAGACCCAGGAGCTTAACATTATATGTATTATTATTTAGTAATATTTCTGTTGCTATGTGACAGGTATTTACTATAAACAGACAAATCCTGCTTTGAACAAACAAAAATGTTGCTCAGTAGGAAAAAAATTGTGCATGATAAAAACAAGTGGCTTCCCTGCCATGGTGTCTGACTTCTTTAAATACTTCTTCCACATAAAACTCACTGACAAAACTTCACAGCATTTTCCTTTAGGTTTCAAAAGGACTTGGGGGAGAAATAGCCCTAATTAGAAGACCAGACACTTACCAAAGTAGAGAAGTGCTGGCAGTTAGAAAGAGACAAACTGTTGGTGTTTTCATGGAAAGTGCTCCTGGTTCATCATTAGGACCTGTTTGGCAATGACCTGTTTTTACAGGGCTTTGTTTCCAAAACAACTCTACTGTGGACACCAAAAGAGAGCAGAGAGTGAAAAAAGAAAGGTCGTTATTGAAAGTTTGGAAAAAAATCCATCCAGGGCTGCTTGAGTCCTGTGATCCTCACCCTCTGTGGGACTGCTCACTTTGGTTATGTCAGGATTTGAGTACATGACACTGCAGAACAGGTTGTCTTGGTTTCACCTCAAGTGTCAAATTTCTTAGAGAAATTCTAAGCTTTTCTCTGTCCCCATTAAAAGGCATCAAAATATTGGTGTGAAATTTCTTGGAGTGATCTGGAATCAGCAGCATGGGGATGCTACAGTAATGGTGTTTTTTGTTTCTGCTGTTGTCCTTGAAGTATTGTTTTCTCCTATGTTTATATGTGCATTAGTAATATATCTCTTCTTAATTTAAAATTAACTCCTCAACAGGGCAATTTCCTCACAGGCAACATTCTATCAATGGGCTCTATCAATGGGAGCAGTACTCACTAGCCAAAATGGTCAACAGCTGTGATGGGAAAAAAATTCTAAAAACTGTATTTGAATGAAAAACCAAACACAAAATGTCCACGTTCTTGTGTCATTTCTGACAAACTGTTGGACTCAGCAAACCTGTCATGAACCACCTGGCAGCTCCTGCTTAGTAAGTCAATAATCTCAGCAAAGCTTCTGTGAACCCAGCAAATGATGTTGTCTGTCATCAGTAATGGTAGAATTTCTCTAGAAAAGGAGCTGTCTCACAGAAAGGACCCAGACTCAATTTCCTTTGCTAAAGGTGGCTGCTCCTTCAGCCTCTCAGTTTAGCTTCCCATTGACCCTCTTGGCTGGTGGTGTCAGAGCCTTTGCCTGTGCTGAATAATGTGTAATGCATTGGCTGTTTCTAAAAATAAAAAATCTTCTGTGTGCACTGAAGTGAACTCCAGCTCATGCTCATTTCTTGACTGTTTTCACTCAAAACACATGATGTGACCAAGTTACACTTTCTTGCCTTCCAAGACACTCTAACAGCCAGAACAGGGAGGGAGAATCCGGCCCTTCTTTGCTTTTTCTACAACTCCCTGACAGGAGGGTGGAGCCAGGTGGGGGGCAGGCTCTGCTTCCAGTGAACAAGTAACACGATTAGAGGAACAGCTTCATGTTGTGCCAGGGGAGGTTCGGGTTGGACATCAGGAGGAATTTCTTCACTGAAAGGGCTCCCACACATTAGAATGGGCTGCCAGGGAGGTGGTGGAATCCCCATCCCTGGAGGTGTTCAAGGAATGGCTGGATGTGGCACTCAGTGCTCTGTTCTGGTTGGCAAGGTGGGGATCAGTCAGGTTGGACTCGATGGTCTTGGAGGTCTTTTCTAACCTTAATGACTGTGAAAATACTGATGAGCCCTTGGATTGTAATACCCATTCCTAATTGTTATCTACCAGAACAATCCTGCCTCCTGCACCAAGTTCTCATGCACTGGCACTTTCTCCCCACTGATTGTTTCTGAGCCCTCCCTCTCTCTTCTTTACCTGTGCTGTGCCCACCTGATCTCTCACATCTGCCCTGAGAGCTCCCACTGCTCTGGGCACCACACTCAAGACAGGCATTTACAAACAGGGAGTCAAACATTATTTTGTGCAGCTGTTTCTCTGAGTTTTCCCAGTGAATCTGACTAAAAAAGGAAGCTTCTTTCTTCCTTCCTTTCCATCTCTTTCCAGCCACCTTTCACAGATTCACTCTAATAACCATGTATTTATTTCTTCACATAAATATGCTAGTACTCATCAGTGAGTGATCACACCAGCACTTTATGGTCTGGGAACACTTTACATGTTTTGGAACGCAGCAAGCCTTGGAAGCGTTAAGGATGGTGCCTGATGGAGCTGTTTTCTTGGATTACAACTGCTGACACTTCTCGCCAGAGGTAATGTGCTGGCAGAACAGAGAGCTAATGAGAAATTGGCTGGGTCTTTGCTAAACTGTCTTCAGGAGGCAGATCTGTCACCACAGTTGTATTCCCATATTTCTGCATTTTTGTAGGCTCCAGAAGCATTTCTAGGATCTTGCATGACTTTTGATAGCAGGGCATGGGCTCAGACAAGGAAATTCAAAGATGCATTTGGGTTGCTTGTGCTGAAAGAGGGAAACAGAGCGACAGGCTGGCTCCTTCCAAAGGCAAACTAAAAACATAGCCTAAGGCTAAATCTGTGTGCCAGTAGGCCCTGGGCAGTGTCAGGGTGCATATCCCCATGAGCTGAGTCATTCTTCCTACTGCCCAGCTTCCCATGTTTCCAATACTCAGTTTACTCAGACAGAAAGAGTCGTGCTGCAAAGTAAAATTCAGAGCTGTAATAAACAAGACACCAATGGGAAGCAGCGTTCACCAAACAGAAGCTCCCAGGAAGGGTGCAGAAGAGGCCATACATTTAATTAGCTGATGTTTAAGACTGTCTGGAGGGATGTGAAGCAATAACTGGATGATACACGCTCTGTAAATGTCAGTGCTTGAGGCAGGCAGCAGCTGTGTTGCTTAGTGAGATGTATGGAGATATGGCTGCAGCCCAAGAGTACCAGTAGGTCATGCTCATAAACACCATGCAGACAGCTGAATCCTTATGGGGAAACGTCCCTTCCGCATTTATCCTTCAGTTTTTTCAACACTGAATATATCTTCAGTTTTTAATCTTGGAGAGGTCAATGGAAAAAAAAGTAGAAACTATCTCAGTAGAACAATTTGCAAAATGTTTTCAGTAAATTCTAAAAACCCTTTTAATTTAATGCAGAAATGTACAATGTGACCTGCTCCTATTGCAGGATCTGTTGCCTGTATACACACAGGAAGAAGTGAAAACATTTACCACAGTGGCTTAAAAATGAAGGCAACAGCTTCCATCTGCATTACACCCCAGTACATTGTAGTGCAGTGTGTGAGCAGAGCTGAGAAGGGGCTCACAGTGGGATCTGAGGGATAGTTGTAGAGGTGTGTGGGAAGCCCTTATTCGGAATCACAGAATCATTAATGTTGTAAAAGACCTCCAAGACCATTGAGTCCAACTTGTGTCTGATCCCCACCTTGTCAACCAGCCCAGAGCACTGAGTGCCACACCGAGTCATTGCTTAAACACCTGCAGGGATGGGGACTCCACCACCTCCGGGACAGCCTTGACAGCCTTTTCAGTGAAGAAATTCCTCCCGATGTCCAACCTGAGCCTCCCCTGGCACAGCTTGAGGCCATTTCCTCTTGTCCTGTCCCTTGTTCCCTGATAGCAGAGCCTGACCCCCACCTGGCTCCACCCTCATGTCAGGAAGTTGTAGGGAGTGAGGTCACCCCTGAGTCTCCTTTTCTCCAGGCTGAGCTCCCCCAGCTCCCTCAGCCGCTCCTGGTGCTCCAGACCCTTCCCCAGCTCCTTTCTCTTCTCTGGACATGGTCCAGCATCTCAGTGTTTCTCTTGCTGTGAGGGGCCTCACCAGTGCCAAGCACAGGGGGACAGTCACTGCCCTGGTCCTGACTGTCCCTCTGCTCTTGCTTACAGAGGTTCTGTCCTATTAAGCTTATTTAATTTCTAGTTACGATTTATTTGCAGTCACAGGAGCCCTACCTTGGCCTGGCACGTTACCTGAAGGAGGCCCAGGTTGGAGGGGGCACTGTGGTGCTGGTCTGGTTTGCAGGAACAGTGCAATCCAAATGGACTCATCTGAGCCATGAAAACCATTGTTAGAGTCACCTTGATGTTGAATAGCACATATCCCTTGCTGCAGAGGTTCTCTTTTGGCAAACTCTGGTCCTCCATGAGCCTCTGTTATAACAAAGGACACTTGGGGGACAATGTATATTGGAAATGTGTTAGGTAACCACAAAAAACCTGAACTGAGCTGAGAGAGCTAAATTATACTCACCTTGCCTTTGACTTCAGCACACTTCAAAATGGTTTTTATTTTACCCTACATTCCCCCACTGTCCCTAAATGGGGTCTGTGAATAATCAGCATTCATTGTACTTAAATGTTTTTGCACAACTCAAAATACCTCCCAATTTAGGTATTACTAACAAATATCTTCATCCTAAAGATCATCTCAGCAAAGGATTGTGGCTTTCAGAATGGAATACACTCCAAAATGTCTTTGCTCAGCAGAGATAAGGAAGAATCAAAAGATATTTAAGGCATTTATTGACGTCAGCCTGACTTAATAGTGTGCAACAGAACCAACCCATTGGGTCCAAATCATGTCCATTTAATTCTTAGCACAGATGAAAAATACAGAACAGTTCCAGCCAAATGATGGTTTCTTGGAGCAGGCAGCCCACACACGGCAGACTCTGAGTCATTCTGAAGAGTTTTCCTCACCCATCTTTGTAAATGCTGAAGCCAAGGAGAGCATTTTCATTCTGTAACTGTCAGCTGTAAATCCCTCCATAGTTTAAGATCCCATCTTTTTCTCCACATTTGATTTCCTGAGCCCTCTGAGTACTACCATGACAAAAGGCGAGAAATCTGTTGTTTTCTTCTACTAATATGAACTCCATAAAAATATACAAAAGCTTTTAGTTTTTTCAATTTTTGTATAGATTAAATCTTCCTGAATAAAAAAACAAAACCAAAAACCAGTTAATCTCCTCTCAGCACCCAGTGACTGTTAATGAGCTGATGGAAACCCTCCAGTTGATGGGCACTTGTTTTGGCTGTCCTGTTATCACATGCAGTGCACACGTGTCCATACAATTTCCCTGTCGTCCCCCTGACAAGGGATTAAATTTGAATGGCTTGAACTAGCAGGAATCATGGTCAAGGTATGGAGTTTGTAGTTGCTTCTAACACACCGAAAAGCTCAGAGACCAGAGTGAGGGTAGAGGCAACATTCCTTTCTCTACCATCAACTCATTATAGCTTTTTCTTGAATAAAAACACACTTTCAAAATCCTTTAAAAGACCCAAACAGTGATTTTGTCTTTCTCCTAAATCAGAGAAAAAAAGCAAGAACCAGCATAGTGCCCACCTCTGAACACAGTGTTTCATGCTCCTCTCTACCCTCCCAAGCTCACTTTCTCCTTTATCTATTTACCTTCTGTACTCTCTGTTTAGATAACATTTCTCAGGCACTTGAGCATCTCCCAGCTGGGATCACTGCATCCTCTGTCAGGAGGAGCTGTTAACCCTCCTTGCTGTGGGCAAAGCAGTTCCAGCACTTGCCTGCAGTGGCACAAGCCACCTCAGACTCATTTCCCAATTAGTGGAGAGCTAATCAATACCTACCTTTGCCCAGCTGAATTAGGCCCTCTTAAGTGCTCATTTCTCTTCACTGGCTGTAAGAGGACACCTCTCTGACTGGTTCATCTGCACTAGAGGCACATAAATCCAACAAAGATATAACCTACCCAGGAAATGTGTTGTTGAGTCAGACCTAACCTAGGGAAGATAATCCTTCCTATTTAATCCTTTCCCTGAAGGCACATGAATGTGAAGCACGTCAAGGAAGCAGGGGACAGAAGTGATACAGCCATATCAGTTTCCTTTATCATTTTCCATACCTATCAGATTAAATGTTTGCAAAGCTGCCTTTGAATTCTAGCAAACAGCTTCCTTATATATCCAGATGCAAATATCACTGTTTGTTAAGTGGGCTCTAAATGGATTTCATAGTTCAGCCCAAAGCTGCCACACAGGAGCACAGCAAAGCTAAAAGCCCCAGCTGGAGTTTTCTGTGTTGCAGAAAGAAGAGCAGAGCAGGATCACTCAGTCACCTTATGTGCAGTGACAGCAGCCTGTCCTCCTGCCAGAGAAAAACGAGAGGAGTCAGGCCAGACTGCAGTGTGAAGAGGGAAGCCTGTCACGCAGAGAGAAGACATCTGGGATGCTTCCTAAGAAACGTTTAACAACTGGGCAGGCCCACGGAAAACCTCCCTTGCCATGGCAATTGAACAACAGACTGCCCAAAAC